CAGGATTATTACTTGATTTGTTTGTGGGTCTTTCTTCTTGTTTGCTCCGTTTTTTGTGGGGGGGGGGGGGGGGGGCAGTACTGTTTTGCTCCTTTTTGAGGGGTGTGGTTACTAACTTTGTTTGGGGTTTTGTGTTTCTTTCTTCGTTTTTTTTGGGGGGACTATTTTGGCTTGGGGGGGTGGGTACTATAAGGGCCTAAACAATTAAAATTGGGGGGGGGTTACTTTTAAAGCACATTTAGTCAGGAGGGAATACTGCAAACTATTTTCCCTTTAGTCTTGGGTTGGGTAGTTGGACCACCGCCCACAGCCGCCCGTGGGACGAACTCCATTTGTTGGTGTGTTTTTTGTGTTTGAACTCCATTTTTCCGTTGCTTTTTGGTGTGGTGGGGGGGGGGGTGGGGGGGGGGGATGATTACGTCACTTCTTCGGGCTTGCTTGACAAGAACTTCTTTATTTCCTGTTTCTGTGGGGTGTGTGATGTTCTTTGTTAGCCTGCTGAGCTGTTGTTTTGCTCTAGCTTCTTGTGCCCAAGCCAGGGATAGGCATCAAAACAGACTTATTAGGCATCAAAAAACACTTTATTAGGCATCAGCAAAAAACTTATTAAAAAAAACTTATGCTCATTCCTATGGGGGGAAGGAAGGAAGGAAGGAAGGAAGGAAGGAAGTAAGTAAGTAAGTAAGGAAGGAAGGAAGGAAGGAAGGAAGGAAGGAAGGAACCCCCCCCCCAACCGAAAAAGTAGCTCTTTTTCAGCCCACGAATGCATTCCTGGGCCCCGTACGTGGTCCCCCTCACGTGGCCCCACACATGGCCCTCCTTCTCCCACCCGCCGCCCGCCCATACGTGGACCCACCAACCCTCCCCATACATGGACCCCCCTGCCCTTGCGCCCTTGCTCTGCTTCCATCGGCGTGGCTGCTGGTTGTTGGGTCTTGTCTCGTCGCTTGTCTGGCCTACGTCTCGTCGCTTTGTGTGAAGAACAGACTAAGGACCCCTTCCCCCCGTCGGCTATTTAAAAGAGAGTTCATCATGCGGTTCCCAGGCAACATGCGGTCTTGAACATGCCAGTGTGTTGCCTGCAGCCGAAAAACCGACAAAGATGTTTGGGGAATTAACCTTTGGGTGAAGAACAGACTAAGGACCCCTCCCCCCCGTCGGCTATTTAAAAGAGAGTTCATCATGCGGTTCCCAGGCGACATGCGGTCTTGAACATGCCAGTGTGTTGCCTGCAACCGAAAAACCGACAAAGATTTTTGGGAATTAACTTTTGAGTGAAGAACAGACTAAGGACCCCTCCCCCCCGTCGGTTATTTAAAAGAGAGTTCATCATGCGGTTCCCAGGCAACATGCAGTCTTGAACATGGCAAAGTCCTTGACACACGATAGTTGGGGGCTGGCAAAATGAGCTTCTCAAAGCAGCGTGCCAGTGGGATTCGGGAACGCGAGAAATTCCCCACTGTCTCGGCCATTTTACATGAGGGACAGAATCCTTGACACACGATAGTTGGGGGCTGGAAAAATGAGCTTCTGAAAGCAGCGTGCCAGTGAGATTCGGGAACGCAAGAAATTCCCCACTGTCTCGGCGCATTTTACATGAGGGACAGACGGGGCTCTCCTTCCCCCCCTGTAATCGCAGCTTCGACAGGTTGTTCCGAAGCCAAAAACGCACCGATATTACACGGGCTACTATGGGCGGTGTACCTAGTTCCCTTCAGGTATAACTACAAGCCTCTTTACAAAAAGGGAAAACATAGACTAGACTCCCTATCAAGAAAAGAACTATAGAGCCCAACCCCTAGAAATATGTTGTGTGTGTGTTTTTTGTGTTTTTTTTTGGGGGGTACCCCTTTGTGGGTTTAAAGGGAAACCAAGAGGAAAACCAAAATCCCTTTTGGGGGCTCCCCTAAAAGGGACGCACAAATTTGCAAGTTGGGCTTTCGCCCCTGGAAGGGAAGGGTCAAATGCCAACCTTTGCTTAAGCAGCTCACCGGTGAAGCCCAACTGATATGGAACTTTGCTCAGCGAGCGTCGTTTCCTAGTCGTCATTTGGTGAGTGTGCCATATATTCCCTATTTATGTGTGAATGACTGTGAGCATTCACTGTTGCTCGTGTGTGCTGTATCAATTCACTGATTCTGCTTTGTGACAAGCCCTTGGAGAATGTTGGCTCCATTGTGGTAACCATTGCAAGCAACAGCTAATGATAGCTATTGAGGGAACCGCGACCATGACCCATGCGAAGTTGTTCAAAAGAGGATCACTTTCGTTGCTCCAGCACTACTGTATGGTCCATAAGTGGGGCCCTTTTGACCAACCCTCGGTCCTTGGGTGTTTAGCGTTCTTTAGACATCCCCCTTTACCGTTTCTTTTTCGGGCAAGCGGCATGAAACCGCGCATTTGACCAACTGTTCTTTCTGTCCAACCCTGAAATAGAGAGCTGAGAATCAGGTTCCATGGGTTTACATGAGTGTTCTTCAGGCTCGGTCCGCTTTTCAGGTTGCTTTTTTCAAGAGGCTCGATCCTCTTTTGACACTCGTGTGGTTCTATGAGGGATGATCCCACAAACTTAAGATATTGAAGTTGTAAGCTTTTCCGGATCGTTTTTTTAGGTGTCCCTTTTGACACGTGTGGTTCCTTTCTTTGAGGACTGCCCCTTATTCTTGCAGTTGGCTCAAGAGGAAACCACAATGGAACCACCCGTGTTGGTTGAATTTCCCTATTTTGAGACAACCCACGCCCACACCCGGCCCAACCGACCGATCAGCCGCCTCTTCGCCTCCCCTCAGCCGCCAGGGGGGTGGTCTCTCCGGGGATCTTCTGTCACAGCTGCGCAGCGGCCCCAGGAGGATTCCACGTTTCCTCCACACCAGTTGAATCGACGTCATATTTTGGGGTACCTGGAGTCTCCTTCTGACCCTTGAAAAATAAAGGGGTCCTGGACCCATTTTTAAAGGTTCATGGAGACTCCAGGTAGACTAAATATGGCTCTTCGCTTCCCTCCCTCCACCCCCTGCCCTATGAAACATGATGAAACATGTACTATTATTTAGGAAAACATATGTGTTGTTGGGGTCCCAGGAATTTTGAGCCCATTTTGCTGGGCGTAATACCCATCAAAACCGTAATCTGCCGAGAAAAAATATATGGAATTGCTCAAATCCCGCGTTTTGGATTTGTCAGTTTAAATGTGGAAGACGAAATTGAACATACAACGTACACGCTTAAAGAAGGGAGGTGCTAAAAGTTTCCCCTAATGCATAAATACTAAGATAAAGATCGTGGTATTTCCTCTGCAATAGGATAGACCCTTAGTGCCGTATGGAGCCTACAAATAGAAGACATCGACCCGCATAAAGTCGTATTACATTTCAACTTATATGTTGAATCCTGTATTATCAAGCTTCGTCATTGACCCGAGTTCATTTGGCCACAGTTGCCGATTTGATGTAGAATTGCTCACTCAGACGGGCGGCGGGACGATGACAACAAGATCATGCACCTGGAAGATGCGAAGGTGGGGCTGTGTCCAGACAGGTAGGAGTCAACAGGGTTGCTCCGAGCCTTCAGCAGATGAACTTAAATATGAGCAAACCACAAGGGGAGAACATTGTCGTTGCGTCTATGCCACGATTGGGTTTGGAAGCGTGCCGCACATTGTGCACAATTGGTTCTGTGCCAAGGGGAAATGCCCCGAAAGTGACAACCCAGTCTTGAAAACACCCACATTGGTGTCATAAACTCAGTTGTTCAGTGGCGCCCTGTTTCCCTTTTTTTTGGTGGCTGCCCCACTAAAAACGTCTTCCCCCAAAAGGGTTCCCTTTTTCCAGGGTCACTGAACAACTGAGTAAAAAGGTTGATTTCCACAACCATGCCACCAAGGCATTCCTGATGCACATGCAAAAGGTGCTGACCTCGCCGGTGCCTCAATTTTGCAACCGAAGATATGCACGTCCGTGACTGAATAGGGGTAATTCTCCCCAAGCCTGGGCGCGGGTTTTCCGAGGGTAGCCCTTTGCAGCTTGGTGTAAAGGGAAGTCAACAGAAAGACCGAACTCCATGTTGCGTCCCCCTACTTTGTAGAACGATCCAACATCCGCGGACCCTTAGTTCTTGATTTGACCACAAGATCACCAGCTGCAAACCAACACTCAAAATGGGCTCAGTTGAAAGTTTCAAATCCCACATGGGATCGAACCCAAGAGCGGCTCCTGCAGGACAAAATAGACTTTAGGGAAATTCCATGTCGGAGGGGAAACCATCCATGGTAAAACCAAGAGGTAACTTGACCGATCAATTACTGCAGTGGCAAAATGCCTGGAAGCACTGGGTTGGTTGTTGCTGCTTGTCAATTTAGTTTTACACCTGGGTGCGCCCGTGGCCTTGCGGCTTGGCAAGACCCCAAAAACTAACCAAAGAAAAGCCACGAGTGGGGGTCCTGCAAAAGATGGATGGGAACCCTTAGAACTCGCAGTTGTTACATGTGTGTTTTTCCCTTCGCCCTAGCGGTTTTGGCCAGTTTTGCTTTGTGGTGGTTTCGCACTTATCACAGAAAAGGGTCCTGAAAGCACAACCATGCCAAGAAAGGTATACCTAACCAGACATCTTCCTTGTAGTTCTTGCTGAAAGGGATACTCCCCTGCAGATTAACCTAGAACCAACAACCCCAATTTTAGAGTTTGCGGACCCTTGGGTTCCATATTTCTTTGCAGGTATCTGTCAATTGAAATTGGCGACGCATGGTGCTTCGGTGCCCCCGTACAGTCGAGGCCACTAATGCCAGCCAATGAGAGGGAGGGAATCAGGTCACCTGAAAGTTGGTGGCTTGAATTGGTCAGGGAATTGAACCCCTGGTTCTTGGACCGGGTAAAGCTACCAGCTGCCTGACCTCACCCACCAAATTCCGGCCCACCCGAGTCCCAACTTGGGTGCTTGGACAGAAACGGGATTTCGGACATGCTCTAGGTCCCCCAGTAGTGCCCTTTTACTGTTTCATTTTTTGGGGAGGGTTCCCCTACTAAAATAGACTACAGAGGAAAAAATCGATTTCCCTTATTCAAGCCTCTCAAGTCTGGAGGACCTAGTGCTTGAAAACGCTGTCCGGACCCGGCTGGCGGAAAGCTGAAAGCCATTCCTCAGCGGCTCTCTGAGGAAGCGTGTCCAGCCTCACCTCGAAGGCTCCGGGATTGCGGTGTACTCGCCCCTTGAGGTCTGTTAGCCTTGAGACTGAGTTTGGGCCTGTCTTTGTTTTCTTGTTCTTGTACTTTTTCTGTTCCTTTTTTTTTTGGGGGGGGGGAATCACTTTTGTTTTGTGGCAATAAAGGAAAACAAGGAAAACCGCCCTTTCGGGATTTGGGGATTTCCCCCAAAACCGTCACTCCCATTTGGCTCAAGTTGACCTCTGCCTAATATGGGGCTAGCCCCCTCCATAGCCCCTGAGTCCATGAATCCACAAGCCAACGGCTCCGACGAGGAGTTTCCGCTGGAAAGCGGACTCCGGAACTACTGCGAATTTATTGGGTACGGTTCAAAATTAGACCACCAGGGGACCGCAGTTTTTAGTCCTTGTTTCCATTTACCATTTTGGGGGTTACCCCATTTTTAACCCACAGTCATTTCTCAGATCCTTGGCTTATGCTTGGCTAATGCCTGAATGGCCTCTGCACCCTTAGCGGTCCAGGTAGCGTCTACAGGCCCCCGTCGACATTGGCATGGAGTCACAGAGCCGTGAGTCAGTGGTCCGTGAGCTTGAGGTTGAACCATTCCATCCACATGTTTCTTCACGAATTCTACAAAGCTCACCTACGCGTAAACAGCCGACGTCCAATCTGCAGCTCTTTCCAGCCGACGTCCAATTCACTTTGCCTGGCCAAACCTCAACTTGTTTTTGACGTGTCTTCATCCTTTTTGCAGCTCAACTCACTTCCCGAGTTCCTGTTGTATTTTTGGGAAGGCCATGTTGGTGGCCAACCAAAAAGGTTGGGTTACCTTTTTGGCCAATTCACTCACGAAGTGAAAAAGGGTTTAAACCGACCAAACATGAGACGCAAGCACCTGAACCCGCAAGAAGTACCCATACAAAAAGGCATTCGCCACCAGAATGTTGGGGCAAGAACCCATGTTTCAGTTGGAATTTTTGAGGGTCCCGGCTTAGGGACCCCCCCCCCAAAAAAAAAGAAAAGAAGCTCAGGTGATATGCCCAACAGCATGCGGTGCTGTTTTTAGTGCTCGCACCACCCCGCAGCAGAACCTGGTGGAACCCTCGTGGAACCCTGGTGGAACCCTCGTGAAACCTTACCTCAGGGCCCCCCCCCGACCACCCCGGAGCCTACTGGGCTGAGACCCCAAAGCTTTCAGCTGTTGGGGAAAAAAGAAGAGGATTTGGTTTTCCTTTTGGTGTCCCATTGAAGCCAGGAAAAAAGGGGAGCCAACTCCAACAGAAAAACAGCCAAGTGCATGCACACTCTTGGAAGCCTACGCTCATAAGGTGCTTGCGTCAAAGAAAAGGCGCCCCTGGTTGGATGGGTTGTGAGGAAACCAACCACCAACCACTCCCATTTTCCAGATGGCCATTTGGAAAGTGTATACCCAATGTCATCCCAATCGAATCACCAAGGACCCGGTACCCACCTACCTTCAGCGGCTGGAAGCACTGGGATTGCCTTAACATGGGCTCGTTGCATCGGCGTTCCGTTCGGCTTGCGACTCCGCAGACCTCTTTAGAGAGCTGCCCGGGAAGACCCGGGACCTTACGGAGGCTCGCGGGCCGACTCGAGGCCACGGGTTGGGGTCCCCAATTTTGAGAACTGAAATATATGAACTTCTCGGGGCCTGCAATGCTATCCCGTGATCTCCATGGTGGATTTTGGGGTGAACATGAAACAGAAAGATATGAATTGCTGTACCCCTTGTGTGTGGGCCAAGGATCGGGTACATCGGATAGTTCCTAAACTAGACCATCCTCTCAAACGGACCCTTGGCATAGCACGGAAAACCATTTAAGCAAGCAGGCCTTCCCAGCTGCTTCCTGTAGCATAGCAGTCAGGTTTTGCCATGGTTTCAATTGGAGGGGCGGATGGGCACATTGGGTCGACATCTTTTTTGGAGGTGGCAGTCCCTTTTGTTTGGCAGAAGGGAAACCACCAGCGAAATCTGTGCGCCGTTTTGGGCAGAACCTATCAACATGGCTTTTGCCCCCCTTTTTTGCCTTTTCCACAAGCAGCGCCAGCTACGTGCTCAAGTCGTCGCGGTGGGTTCTCGGCAAGGGTTGTTTTTTGTTGACCGGGTAGAGGTGTTCTTTTTTCACTGGGCGGGAATGAGTTTGTCGTTCGTCCACTTCTGTGATACCCGGCAGCCTGTACCCCCCTTGTTTGAAAATAGCTGTTCTGTGATACCCGGCAGCCTTTACCCCCTTCAACTGGCTGTGTGAGCCAACGATGGGGGGAGAACTAAACCAGACCCCGGCAAATCCTCCAGGGTGTTCAGCTCTGCGTGAAGGGCCCTCGGCATACAAATACAACTTCTCGGAGTGGGGCCTGTGGGTGCGCCTTGTTTTGAGGGTACCCCTTGCTTTGGTGATGTTTAAACACATTTTTTGGGGGTCCCCTAAAAAGTACACGCCCACAGAAGTTGATAATAGCTTACATGATCATGGCTTCATTGATATTTGTTGTGAAAGCGTCCTGCAAAGCCATTCTATGTATTGAGGGCCTCATGTCGCGCCAAACACAACGAAACCTGAAAAGGTGTCCCCTGACAAAACTGGTCTTCACTGACACGAAAAAAGGCCCATTTGGTGCTTGGGGGCAGTGATCCTCTCCCAAAAATGTTGATCCTTCCAAATGCACGCCTCGTGATCTCCTTTTTCTGCGGCGGGGTGGGATTTGGGCACTGACTGTCCCAACTGCGCCCATCTTACTCGCAAATCATACAAAATCTAGAGGCAACAGAACATGCTTGCCTGCCGTAGTGGCTTGCCTGGAAGCACTTGGCGGTACCCTTATTCTAACCTCTCTACTGGAGGACCTAGGCCCCATTTCAACGGTCGATTTCTCCGACGTTTGCAGGTCCAGAAAGGCGTGGAGACAGAGTTGCTCAGAGAAAAGGCGAGGAAGACGAGGTCAATTTGGGTCGATCTTGCCATGTGGCCTTCAAAACATGGGCCTGTCTTACGAGGGATCCCCAAAATAGGTGGCTTTAACCCTCAAAGTTCCTAAACCGCGTTATTACAAACCAAAATCATGGCTGAGGGTGCAGGTGGTTTCAACCTAAACAACTCCCTTTCAAGCCACGAAACAAAGAGGCGCTCTCCTGCGCTCCGCGTTCGCACTCGAGTTCCTGCAGTCACTTTTTGACCAGCATCTCATTTCTGTCGGATTTTGGTCCTATTGCCTTTGCCGCCCTTTATTTTCCCCGCCCTGCGGCCACCATCGGCGAGACCCTCGTTTCTTAAGTCTTCTCATTTGCCCAAAGCGAATCGACCTTTTCGCCTTTTGCCAAGGAGCACAGAACATGCTCTGTGGATCCAATGTCTTGACGATGGTCCCATCCTTCACATCTCAGTGGGTTCTGAAAGCCAATATGGCGTTGGAGGCGTTGGGTTTCCGACCGCTGGTGGCCTTTTGCGGCTTGCGCGGTGTGCTGGTAAAAGCGTTTGGTTGAAGCCGGTCGGGGCTTTCGTTGGTTCACGCGCAGGTTCAGGCGACCCTCCGTTTAAGTATCGGCAGTGGGGACAGAAATCGATGATGCGTTGTATGGTGCGTAGATCTGAGTCTGTGCTTCTTGAGGGTACCCTTTTATATCAGTGTGAGTTCAAAGAAAACATGTTCGCCCAAAGGGAGAATTTGCAATCTTCTGGGGTTCCCCTCTATTTTTCATGCACACCCCTCTCTAGGCTCGAAATCCCCAGTTCTCTTCGACCATCCTTCTTTTCAACCAGCTGTTTCCCTGAACTTTTCGTTCAGATCGGTCGGATCCCTGGAAGTCCGGGCGATGCCAGGCCAAGAGAGTTCTGGTGGATGCCAGCAAAGGCCTCGCGGGGATCGACCCGTTTGAGCTGTGCAAAGTTGGACCCGTTGAAGTCTGATCGATGGGCTCCTTGGATCTCCACAACCAGTTTAAACAAATTAACGGTATATAAACATTGGGCTTCCAACAACCCGTAAGAAAAAATGGCCTTCCAGGGATTTGGCTCTTGGTTGGAAGAAGGAAATCAGCCAAAGGCCTGCTTTTTCAGGGTCCTGGAAGATCAAGGGTAGACTTGATGTGATTTGTTTTAAGATATGTGCTTTTGGAGCACCCCGGAAGCTGTCCGTTTGAGATAGAAAAACAATATCCTGTGGAAGGTTGTGGTGGAACGTAAACGAGCCGGTGAGTCCCCCCCAGGACTACTGTTACTTCACATGGGAAACCGCTCTGCACCCTTCCGGGCAAAGCTAAATGGGATTCCTTCTCGATCGCTTGCTCAGAACAATCATGTGTGTAGCATCCGAAAGGGAACCCATTTGATAGAACTTAAGGTCACCCAGAACCTTTTATCCGCCTTGTTGGGGAACCAAAGAACCCCTTTGCGGGTTATATGTTGTGGCACTTTTGGGGACATTCGCCGAGAGTAGGGGGAAAAGGCAACGCCTGTGTGTGTGTGGAATTCTTGTGCGGCATCCTGTTGAGCCTAAGGCGCATATCACGAAGTGTTTGAAGTTGACCTGAACCAGCACACACCACATGTTGTCAGCAACAATAACAAAGGGACAATGTGCGCAAACAGTGATGCAATGTCGCTGGCATAGCATCAGTTTCCCTATGTGTTTGGTTGCACATTTGATATGAGCGATGAGAATCTCCCTGGCCAAAAACCAAAAGAGCTCTCAGGCTTCCCCAAAGGCCGAAGATTTCAAAAGGCTCGCAAGCATCGCTCTGCCAGGTGTCTTCAAGCAGTTTGGCTTTGAGGCGCTGTCCGCCGTTCAGAAAGCCCAGGGGATCCCGCTTAAGTTGGTTATATAGCAGAGCTTCACTGCTGTTGGCAAGTTGGTTGTGTTTTGTTTTGTTTGTTCTGTTCATTTTTACGGGGGATGAAGAAAGCAAAGGTTTTTGCTACCATACCTAACACGAACCGCGTGCCAGGTGTCCCAGGAGGGCCAGGAGGAGCTCCTGGAAGCGTAGGGAGGCCCACATGGTTGTTGTTTGGAAGTTGTTGTTCTTCTTTGCATTTTTGCTTATTGTGGTTTAGTGGTTGAAATCCAACCACTTAACTGCTAAGATTTAATTGGTGCTCCCCGTCCAACGTCAAACCAAGTTACGATTTTAAGCGTTTGTTGGGTGGTGATTTCCCGCGGCTTGGATGGTCTGTTGCTGACTGCTACCCTCCTGGGGTGTTGTTGGCTCACTCGTGGAACCTGAGTCCCTTGAAGGGGAGAGAATGGTCAGGTTCCATGTAAATGGGATTTTTGGGGGCCCCCATATTTTACAGGTGGTTTACCAGGGATCCCAGAAAGGCCGTTTTTTTTTTTTAACGGCCGTCTTAGAACCAACTTGATCAAATGGATTCGCACTCCGCATGCCAGCCGTGAGCGGTGGCTCTTGTTGGTTTGGCGCCCTGCATTCCTACTGAACCTTGAACAAGACAGTATATTGCCAAAAAAAAAATGGTTCTCAGGACTCCTATTGCAGTTTCCTTTCAGAGGACCTCTTGTGTATTCTTGCCGAGGATTTTGTTTTTTGTTAGGAGTGGATTTTGTTTTTTGTTAGGAGTGGATCCAGTTCTGCTTGTAGGTAGCCAAGGGAACCTGTAAAAACCAAAACTAGGCCCCCAGCTAGGTGCACTTTCTCTCCCCTTGTTTGGTTGGGAGGGTTCCCCTACTAAGATAGATATCCAGAAAAAAATGGTACCCTTGTTCTAACCTCGCAAATCTGGAGGACCTAAGAAGAGGAAATTGGATCCAAAGGGCTTCAAACGCACCAGCATCTCACTCCGGCTGAGGCTTCGGGAACATCAGCACGACGACACCGTGTTCATTGTGGCCGGAAGGGGGGGGTTCAGAAGTTCCGGTGAATTCTATTCGGGTCAGCCGAGTACGGAAAGTACCCAGGGAAAAACCATCCAGCCTAAGGGTCATTTTCCCTCCAATGCAGACCCCCGGGCCCTCCAATGGAGAAATGCGACCCCTCAGGGGCCCTTGGAAACAACCAGTTTCGAGGGCCAAAAATCAGTGGGGATGGGATTTCTTCCCTTGAAGTATCGCCAAAGAAAGGTACCCAGAACAAAAAATAATATCCACGGCCATGCCATGGGCAGAAGGTCCTCAAGCCAATGGGCGAATTGAAGGGCAGCAAACGCTGGGGGTGGCCAAAAGCGGCCAGGGCTGGTGCCCCATGACCTCTACTTTGGTTGCATGTTGCTTGGATGTTCGGACTTTAACTTGCTGCCAACTAATGGGTGTTTCCACTAAACCACTAGAAGTTAAAAACTTTTCGCAGGGGAGCAGAAAGCAACCGAGTTTAGGAGTTGATGTGACACCAACCTAGGAGCTGATTAAGGGTTTGACCATACCTGGACCCTCGCAATTCTAACTTCATGGGTGATTGCAACCCAAACTTCTGGTTGGTGAATTCCAGCTCCGTCTTCTTCTTTTATGGGTAGTTACGAGGGTGCCGGCAGATACATAAAGTCTTAAGAGGCATGAGAGGGCCCTGAAGGCCCTTCTGCGAATTCCCATCGTGAGCTTTGACAAGTTGGTTTGCCATTCGAGGGCCCCAGGGACGGTTAGAATGGGAAGCCACAGAGGGCCACAGAGGGCCAAGCAGTTAGAGCTGACTTTGAGACATGGGTGTGGCTCAAAATTAAACAGGAGGGGTTACGCAGGTTTTGGTCCATGTTTCCACTTACCAGCTGGTAAGTGTTCCCTTTGGTACTGGTTTTTTGGGCCACAGCCACATAACGAGATGGATGTGTTTGTTCTTGATGGCGGATACCACACGGAAACCGCCGTTTCGCAGGCCCAGGCTTATGAGGGTTGTTTGAGGGGCTTCCCTTCAGGGCCGTGGTTTTCGAAAGTCTTTGCCGATTTGACCTTTTTGGTTTGCTCATGTTGGTCCATTTTGCGTCATGGCCCCAAAGGTGATCAACTTTGTATTTCTGGGGTCCCTAAGGGGCAACTGAGTACATGGATCTGTCAGGGCCCGCCCTTTGGGGATAGAATCGGACACCATATCATACCATATCCTAAGAATTGGAAATCAAAGATCCCTCAGCTCCGCAGCACGAGTCAAGTTCGGACTCGGCATACTGGGCCCACTGGGCTTGATATGTTTTGGGGACGATGCCAAATCCAGTGGGACATATGTTTCTGGGCTTGGTGGGGTTGGGGCAGATGACTTGAGTGGCAAGCTCCACGACATGGATTAATTTAGCCAGCCAGCCAGCCAGCCAGCCAGCCATGCATCCATCTGGTTGCTTCCGAAGGCTAGCAACATCGAGATGGCTCTGCAGCTGCCTGCGGGCGGCGCCAACCCCAAGCTGGGAAAGCGCGGGTAAACAATGTCCACATGTCTATCAGTTTCTGCGTCCGTTTGTCTGTTCTTTGTTTTTTGTTTGTCTGTCCGTGTAGAAGTGTGCATAAGGACAAGGCTAAAAGTCAGGGTACGTTTCCCCCCCCCTGCGTGTGTTGGCGTGCGTGGGTGTGGGTCTCCAAACCACCGGGCTCTAAACCAGACTTCGGAAAGCTAAATCAAGAGGTGTATGGGTGATATAGTAGTAGTCGGGGGCCTCGCCCCGCAAATAAATTGCTTCATACATACACCCCGCCCTACATGTTTTTTCATCTTCCATCTTCTACCCTTATTTGTTTTCATCATTTTTCTACATTCCTTTCTGTCCATCTCATCCGTTTTTTTCTCATCATTTTTCCAAAATTTTCGCCATCCTTTTCTCCTTCCTCCTCGCCTCATTCATTTCACCAACTACCCTCCAAAATGTCATTTCCTCAATCTCCTCACCTCATCCATTTCAAAAAAAAAATGCAAAATATATTTCAAAAAATATGTGTCATCAAAAAAAAATCGAACTGTCTAAAAACGATTTGTCCATTTCTCGGACAAAAAATAGAACAGCAACAACATCACTCCCCTCCTTCGTTTCATTACTTTTATCATATATTGTTTTAGGCGTGGTGTCCCTTGTAGGATTGTATCTTCAATATATAAAACGCTATACTTACATTATAATTATAACATATAAGGGTATAAATGTTATAATCATAGTATGGTTATAATTTTAGATAATATTTAACTTTATTCTAATTAATTTTAAAATTCTCTTTCAATTCGTTTCATTATTTTATCAACTGTGTTTTCATTATAAATATGATTTCCTATTTCTTTTATAAACACCTTCATTACACGAATTGCATGTCTTGCTGTGTATCTAAGTTCGCGAGCTTCATACTGATAATTTAAAAACTCATTTACAAAATCAGAGTTATTCTTATTCGATGCTTCGTATTTTAAACGTTTAATGCTAAAAGACATATTGTATAATCTTTTTACCATGCTATAATACGTATAAATAAAACCATCAACATATCCATTATCTAATACATTATCAAACTCTTCTTCAGTAAAGAACTTATTCATTTCAATAAAAACAAATATTTCTAAATCATCATCAAGATTTTTAATATTTCTAGTATCAAAATCTCTGGTATTTATATCATCAATTTTGTTTAAAATTTTATTGCAATTATCACATATCATACATTGACAAATATTATTACTAACACCATCTATAAAACCCTGTTGAATTGTTAACTTTAGCATCTCACAGTCTTTACATTTGTAATTCATAAACTTTTGTTTTAATATATTTTTAGCATCAATATCTTCACGGACCGTATCACTCATTTCCACTATAATATATATAGTTTTTATTTCTTTAAATACATTTTTCCAAGAAATAAAATTAAATATTGAAATATAATTATAACATATAATATTTTACATGTTATTATTATAGTATGATTATAATTTAAGTTCAGGATAATAATTTAATTGATATATCTTACCTCTTTCATACATCATTTTAAAAATAATATTAATATCTCTCACTGTATTTTTAACATTAAACTTTTCACTTTCAATATATGATTTTATGACTTTTTTTTACATCAACGCCGGGTTTACTATAATAAATCAACATCCATAAAATGTGGTTAATCAGTTCATACTTTTTCTTACTGATTTTAAGAAACTGTTTAACATAATCGTAAGGTGGTCTTTCATACACAGTTAAAGATATCAATATTTCATCTTCAACATTTCTTTCATCTATATTTTTAAACGCCAAACAATTTTCTATTATATTTTGATATCGTCTCCATCTTCTACAAGTTCTACATATATTTTCTTCGTCCAAAGAATAATCAATAATATTATTAACTATTCCATTAGGTAAATTCAATTTATATAATTCCATATTTTCTTTTTTAAAGTGGCAACAATCGTAGCATTTCTTATTGATATAATTATTGATTTCGGTTTCCACCATTTCTATTATAATATATATAGTTTTTATTTCTTTAAATACTTTTTCCCAAGAAATAAATTTATACCTTTAATAACTCGTGTCTCAAAAATGCCCTGTCATAATTTTCAATATAATAATATTCCTGTCCTAACTTCTTTGCAATCTTTGCTATTTTGTAGGTTTGTTTAGTCCATACTCCTACTCTCTCCTTTTCATTTGGTCTCCTTTTCCTGAATATCTTAACTTCATTTCCTACATTTAAATCTGGATAAACTCTATTTCTTTTGGCTTTCATACCTAAATTTAAACTCACTTCTAATTGGTGTTTAGGCTTTCTTGCTTCTGACGGAAATAAACCGTGCGAAGTGTGCTTTATTCCATTGTTATAGGTTAATATAATCTCGTGTATGTAGTCTGTCCATTGAATAGCCTTTCCTTTTTTCTCATCGTTTTCAATCCTCTTATACAAGCTATCTTTAAACGTCCTTATCGCCCTCTCCGCAAATGCCGGGTGTCCTCTTGTTCTGTGCAACTCTATTTTTCATCCTTCAAGAAATCTATAACACTTTGATTATTATAAGCTCCTTCGTCGTCAATATAAATTAGTTTGGGCTTTCCACCCATTTTTTTAATACATTCCATTAGTCCTGCTAAAATGTCCGCTGGCTGTTTTGACATAAGCGGGACAACAACCATATACTTAGAAAATATGTCAATGCACATCATGCCAACTTTCATTTTTTGTTTAGGGATATCATTAATGAAAAATAAATCAATTTGAAACTCATAATATGCGTTAGGAGCTACAAATGAATTCTGCCCTCTCGGTTTAGCTTTCTGTTCTACATTCTTCCTAAAAAACTCATTAATATCGTTTATAGTTATTGTGTTATCCTTTTTTCTTGCTTCTTGTAAAGTGCGGTTCTTTGACCCGAAGCCTCCCTTTATCATAATAAACATTATTAATAATATCTTGCTTAGATGCCATATAAAATAAGATAGATATTATTTTTCCCGGCGATTACAGTTTAAACAGTAAGATATACAGTTTTCCTTATGATGGGCATAATCGTTGTTTATTCGTTGGGCTGTCATATTGCTATTTATTACTCCATTATTTATTTCTATGTCAAACTCTGAACTGCATTTATTACATCTGGTATTAAGCCTGTCAAATAACCATTTGACATCAATATATTTTTTGTTGTCTATCTCTCTCTCTGCTTTCATGTCTTGTAATTTATATTGTTTAATCTTATGTTCTAAATATCTGGTTACTTGTGCTTCATTTAAATCAGTATCGTCTATGTCTGCTTTGAAAAACTTGACTTTGTTGATATCTCTGCATCTCGTGAGGGCTGTCCAAATCCACTCACGGCTGACCAAATGTGATTTATCCCATTCGTGTATAGTAATGCTTTTATCTAGAGAAGCCCCTTGAGACGAATGGCATGTAGCACAATACGCATGTATAAAGTGCTTGTCTAAAGTCGTGGTGTTTGTCATGAATATAGTTTTACTTTTGATATCTTGGATTTCTACTTTCCAATCATCAATACTAATAATTTCATAAGTAATATTTACATTAAACACCTGCCCCATTTCTTTTTTATAAACTCTGCATATCACATGCTCTCCGATTTCATATTTATCTGTCTTTCCTAAATTATTTCTTACGGTCTTGCTTACCCATTTGCACCTAGCATTAGTATAGGCTATGTTATGCTCTCCTTCCATGATGTCGCTTGTAGTTTCAAAATGTTTATTTACTATTTCTTTAATGGGCAGTTTACTTTTCCAAATGTCATTATATACATCATTCAACTTAATTTTATCTTCTTCTGTCTTAAGTTTCTTAGATATCTTAAGATAAATTTTATATTGAAATATTTGATTAAGACAGTTGTTTAAATATGTCGTGGTCTTGGGTGTTAGTTAAATCAGCTATAGGTTTCAACTGTTTCCCGTCAGCAGTTCCTATAATTATCTTCTCTGGGTGCGTATCCTTAAACTCCCTAACTCTGTTCAAAATATAATTACCCGCCATGCCTAGCTCATCAAACACAATACAATTATAATCAGAATGGTCAAATGTCGGTAGTCTTTCTCCAGCTTCTATTGGGATACTAAAAATTTTGTTTAATGTTATGGCGTCGGCTTCGGTTTCTTGCTTCTGCTTGTTGTTAGGACATACGAATAACACATTATAACCTAGATTTTTCATATATTCGCCTATATAACTCTTGCCACTTCCAGCCAGTTTTGCTTTTAGTAAAACCGGATGACATGACACAATTTGCTCACAAATGCTTTTGGTGTCGTATTCGTCTTTAACACGAATTTTTACATTATTGTAAGTCGGAATTTCTGATAACTCATTAACCTTAATTTTGTATATATCGCTCGGTGGTGATACTTGTTTATTGTCTTCAGCTCTCCATCCTCCCCTTTTGGTTGAAAACTTAATCAATGTTTTGGCCTTGTCAATATTTTTCCTATCAATAATGCAGGCATCGGTTTTAACACTATGCACATTGATATTGTTGTTTTTCAATGTTTTATAATCTTTATGCATTTTAAAATTATGTCGTTGCATGAGTAGCTCTTTAATATACCTAAAGCCATTGGTTAAGTCTTGTTTATGTGTCGTTGTCAATGTGTAATATTTGACTTCTGATTCTTTCTCAACGTTTTTGATATCGTATTTTTTACCATCTATAATTTTATAACATTCACGACAATGATTGTGATAATACATATTATTTTTCCAAAATTTATATGTACCATCATCAGAATTCCGGTACCTATCATCGTCAGCGCCTTAAATTCTAAAACCCATCCCTCGCCTATGTTCCTTTCTAATTCTTTAATATATTCATCTGTCATCTCTGTCAAAACCTTATCATCATAAAATCCACTAATCTTATTAATTCTTCCTCCATACAGATTTTGATGATACAATGCTTCACTTAATGTATCAAA